TGGTGGGCTAGCCAGTTCTTTTTTCCTAGGACAATTTTTAATAATATGGCCAGTGGACGCGTACCAAATACAAACTACAGCATTTGATATGCATGTGGCATTATTGTGTCCATATCCCTAGTATTTACTGCATCGAAGAGCGTCGAGGTAGTCTTTGATAGTAATACTCCACCACCCCCTAATCTTCCTATTTCCAACAGCAGGGAGCGAGAAGTCGGTCCCCATTCCGCTGGTCGTTGGTGATATCCGGCCACTTTTTTCCTCAATGGCAAAAAATAGCTTTACAAAGAATCGGGTGATAGAAGTGCACCCTACAGTTCGGTACCTCTATGAAGTTGGCCCCCCATCTACAACATTTTTTAAAAATTTTGAGAGTTCTTATAGCCCCCCCCCCAAGAGTTCTAGAGTTCCCTATACTTTTTAGAAATAGGTCTATTGTTTAAACCACCGAAAATACCATCCAAAGTTGCGAAAAACGGAAATCGCGTTTTGTGCAACTTACGAGTCTTATAACACTTTTAATATTAATTTTAGAGCTAAACTTCAAAAGGTTAATTATAACAATTCTTTGGGGAGCTATCAAAACTCTGAAAAAAAATTTAAATATAGGCCCTCCAAAATTGAAAATTTCTAAATTATTTTTTGGGTTTTAATAGCCCCCCAAATAGTTACAGAGTTCTCTGGTATTTAAAAAAAAATTTATATTGTTTAAACAACCGAAAATATCACGCAAAGTTACGAAAAAATGAAATCCCGTTTTGTGCAATTTACGAGTCTTATAACTCCTTTGATATTAATTTTAGTGCAGAATATCATGAAGATAATTGTGAAAACTCATTGTGGGGCTATTAAAATCTTTAAAAAATTTTAAAAAAGGTCCCCCAAAAAAGCGCCCCCACCCAAAAGTGAAAATTTTAAAATTATTTTTGGAGTTCTAATAGCCCCCCAAATAGTTCCAGAGTTCTCTGGTATTTAAAAAAAAATTTATATTGTTTAAACAACCGAAAATACCACGCAAAGTTACGAAAAAATGAAATCTCGTTTTGTGCAATGTACGAGTCTTATAACTGCTTTGATATTAATTTTAGTGCAGAATATCATGAAGATAATTGTGAAAACTCATTGTGGGGCTATTAAAATCTTTAAAAAATTTTAAAAAAGGTCCCCCAAAAAAGCGCTCCCACCCAAAAGTGAAAATTTTAAAATTATTTTTGGAGTTCTAATAGCCCCCCAAATAGTTCCAGAGTTCTCTGGTATTTAAAAAAATATTTCTATTGTTTAAACTACCAAAAATACCATGCAAAGTTATGAAAAACTGAAATCCCGTCTTCTGGAACTTACGAGACTTATAACTTTTTAATTATTAATTTTAGAACTAAAGTTCATTATATTAATTTTTATAACTCTTAGGGGGGCCATAGAAAAACTCATATCAGAACTCCTGAAATCCAATAACAAATTACGACCAAAATTTTTATCTTACTCTTACATTTTTTAAAAATTTTGAGAGTTCTTATAGCCCTCCCCCAAGAGTTCTAGAGTTCCCTATATTTTTTAGAAATAGGTCTATTGTTTAAACCACCGAAAATACCATTTATACAATTTTTAAAATTATTTTTGGAGTTCTAATAGGAGTTCTAATTGAGATAACTATTATAACTCTTAGGGGAGCCATAGGAAAACTCATCAGAACTCCTAATCAAACGGGGTTTGTCCTTACATCGAAAATTATAGCGAGAGAGGAGGCCTAGGGCTGCTTTTTATGATTATTACTCCTAATCTCGATGTGATGGATCTGAGGCCGCATACCACGGCGGATTGTATCGCATGTAATGTAAAGTGGCGTAATATTTCCTCTACGCTAGTTTTAACATACATGCCTGATGGAGATGACATAGAAAGAGACATGACCGCCATGGAGATGATCACGGCTTGTACTCGGAACGTGATCATCTGCTCAGATACCAACTCATGGTCTGTGGGTCCAATCGAACAAAGAGAAGAGAGATCCAGCTCGGTGAATTTATAGCAAGGAGCCAGCTACTATTCATAAACGATTCCTCCACTATCCCAACGTTCACCAGTGCAAGAGGCCACAGCTTGATCAATGTGACTTTGACACCACCAGTGCTGGCTCAATGGGATAAGGCTGACATGGATCAGACTCATGATCTGGATAACAGGATATCCAAGATCAAACTGTCATCCGTGATGCCGCTAAAGGATCCCTCCAGTATCGGAAGTCGAGAGCTCGACGTGTCCCATGGTGGACGGCGGCCTTAACTATCACGAAGAGAGCCCTACATGGCCCGACGGTCGTACAAGAGATGTATTTGTGACGAGAGGCGCATTACACTTCGTGACGAGTACAATTCTAAAGCCAGGACATACCGAAATGAGGTGCACTTACAAAAGCGAAAGTCTTGGGACGTTTTCATTGTTGAGAAAGCATCTAAGAATCCTTGGGGTATTCGTTACAGAGTGGCTCTGGGTAAGTTGACACCACAACAAGTGACTGCTGCGCTCATGTGCGGAGCTGCCCAGGCAACCACTCTAGAAGAGACAACGAAGATGTTTATTGCAGAAACCTGCACCAGGGATGATCCGACCCAAGATAATGAAGAAGAGGAATTCATAAGACGCACTATGGTATGCCCACCTGGTACAGATTTGTGTCCTCCTTGGGACATATGAGATCTCCGTGCTACTGTGGATAGGAAAAGGACTGGTCGTGCTCCCGGTTTATTCGATACGGCTATACTAAAGAATAGTATCTCTTATATCGAAGATACATTGTTGGAATTATTCAATGATTTCCTCGATAGGGGATACTTTCCAAAAAGTTGGAAAATTGTCGACATAAGCCTCCTTTACAAGGAAGGAGACAAAGACAAGCAAGTCTTATAGGCCTATATGTCTCCTCCCTGTTATGAGCAAAGTGTTAGAGAACCTATTCATGGTGAGCGTATGATCAGTCTTCTCAAGAACGAATCATCCACGGCAGTACTGATCGGCTAAAGCTAGGGGAACCGCGGATGCCCTCCTGAGAGTGATCAATGACGTCGAAGAGAAGGCGGAGAAGTATGTTTTACCTCTCCTGTTTGGTATTATCTCCGCCTTCAATAGTGTTTGGTGGCCTTGCGTACTCCAGCAGTTGCAGAAGTTCCTAGCAACTTGTACGAGCTATTACGGAGCTATCTTCAGGACCGAACTTTGAGAATACGGGGTAACTTCTTCGAAGTTGAAGACTCCGTAGAAAGAGATTGTCGCCAGGGTTCTGTTCTAGGTCCTGCCCTATGGAATTTAGTCTTCAATGAGTTGTTGGGAGTACTGGAAGAGGAATGGTTCCCCACCACGGCTTGTGTTAATGATCTAGCTGTTGTGGTAACCTCGAACAGCAGAGCCCGACTGAAAGAAGAAGCTGAAAGGTACGCCAACCAAGTAGAAGAATGATGCGAGAAGAAGAAATTGAGGATGGTCGCCGCCAAGACTCAGGCCATCCTCTTGAAAGGCACGACTGATAGAGCTCACCCAATAACAATGATTATACAATGATCAAGAATACGTCCAAATGAGGTTGTCACCTATCTTGGGATTAGGATTGGAAGAAAGTTCACTGTGACGCCTCACTTGGACTACTTGAGAAGTAGGTAGCCCTAACCCTTAACGGACTCAGTCGTATTGAGGGCGAATTTTGGGACCTCAGATACCCAGCAACTATGACCATTTAGAAAGTGTTATCTTGAGTATCCTGAGGTATGCGTCCCCTACCTGAAGACAAAATCTCTCACTTAGACAAAAATGTAGATTGTCCACGATTCAGCGGATGGCTCTGCTTCGAGTCTCCAGATCATTCAGGAGGATGTCTCATGAGGCGATGCAGGTCTTGGCAAGATTAGGAAGGAATGCTTAGCAGCTCTACCGGATTACCCCCGAGTGAGAATAGGAGAGGATCCAAGAAACTGGAAAAAGATTTTCCGGGAGGATGCAGTAGAGGAGTGGAACTGACGGTAGGTGACGACTCAGAAGGAGCTACCATAAGAAAGTCGGATTAATCCCACGGTCAGTTCGCGACTAGAAGCGACTTGGGTCCTCCCGGACCACGGGCGGATCTACGGGGAGAGGGGAGGGGGCTTTCGGGCTGAAGCCCCCCCCAAAATGGAAAAATATAACCATGTTTTATGGAAAAAAAATTTAAAAATACCTCTTAAAGTATTATTTTTCGTGTAATTACATTTAAAAGTACTTAAAGAATAACTTAAACACCATTTCATATAGATAGTTAGTTTCTGTCTGTTTTTCCAAAGTAATTACCGTTATTTTTATGAAAAAAAACAGATTTCGGGCTGAAGCCCTCCCCCCAAAATTAAATCCTGAATCCGCTAGTGTCCCGGACTACTGGATCTCACAGATTCTCACCGAGCATAGGGTTCTCCGCCCAAAGCTCGTTCAGTATGGTATAAATATCGATTCCCTATGCCCAAGTTGTGGGGTACCGGAGACTGCTGAGCATGTTGTACTTACCTGTACCGTATATTAGTCACTGAGGGCGAAACTGTTGAAAGAGACAGGTCTCTTTGTCCTTACAGAGAGATATCTTCTTCAACTTATGGCCAAGACAAATATATGCACTTCAAACATTTTATATACGGGCGGAAAGAAGTTGTACTACCTATCCACTTCTCTCTGGGAAGAAGAGAATCTGCACCGGGGAGGCCGCGAGAATAAGTAGAAGAGAAGCAGACGAGGCACAAGTGAATAGAAGAGCAAGTGTACACAGTTGAGAAACATAATGTAATAGTTTACAAATGCAGCAGTGGGTTGCTATGTAACAGTAACATCTCACTGCTGCAAATACCCGTATTGCCTTGAGGAAGGGGAGGTCTGAAAATAAATAATAATAAGAATCTTATAAGCATTTATAGCGGGACTGATATTATTTGATTTCATTTCAAAGTCAATTAGTGAGGCATCTGTGGCTAATAATTAAATTTATCTACCTTTTGTCTTTTAAGGCGTTGTAAGGTAAGACTAGGTCACCAGCAGCTACGGTCCCTTCTCCGTCCACCGATATCACCATCCGCTTGTCGAGTCCACCGAATCCTCCGAAACCGAGTTCTCGCCGCTTGCAGGAGTAGATGATCTCAGTTGGGTTGTAGGGAGGGTTGCACATCTTCCTTTCGTCAATAATAGGCGAGCATTCCACAAATACAGGGTACCTCATCTCCTCCATGTGGGACGTCGTAGTTTCGATCAGTCTCTGAGGAGGAACGAAATAGTCGTCGTTGATTTTTACTGGTATGTCAACAGAAATGTCAAAATTTGCGTCTCCTTCTTGAGACCTGTAACAAAGCGCGTAGTAAAATATATTAAAAAGTTCATTTAATTTAATAGTTAAGTTACTATAAATAACTTCATGTGGTTGAAAGTTTTCTGGTAATTTTTGGTTTTGCTCAACCTAAAATTTAATAATATAAATCTGTAGTATCAGTGAAAACTGTGTTAAGTACAATTTTGTGAATTTTTATGGGTATCACTAGAAAACTAATTTTTCGCTCTTTCTTTGTGTATGATTGGATAACTTATGCGGCTATTATTGGGAGGTACATTCCTTTGTAATAGTAGATTACATTTACACATTCCGGCTTGAAATGAATCCCGATTGTTATTAATAAGATATTTTAGTGGCAATAGTTGAGAAAAAGCCAATTTTGAAACTTAGCTTCGATTTAAACCAATTCAAGTAATTTTTTTTAATTATTAAACTTGAACATTCTAAAATAAAATCATTGGAAATAACTTTAGTTGAACCTTTAAAACTAAAATTGACTTTTTCTTCACTTTCTAAAAATGACTAATGTTGGTTTATTACTTTCAATAATGAAGAATCATAATCGTCCAAAAAAATCAAAAACATAACCCTCCCTCGAAACTTATGGTTTTACGACGTTTCAGGATACGTAGAACTCGAAAATCCAATAAAAAAAATGTTGGCCGTCTGCCGTACCCCGTCCGCGCGATTCTCCTCGATTAAATTAAATATATCCATAGAACATATTTCACCAAAAAGTACTTTCATTTCATGAAAAACCTGTGTTACTATAGACTGTAATACCTGAACGGATGTACCGATTTAAAGGAAACTTGGATAAAGTCTTCTATTTCGAAATCCTTAAAGTTTATCGGTATAGCATAATTCAACGAAAATAAGCTGGAAAAAAAGGTTACAAGAGATCTAAAAATTAGATTTCCGAATAACTCAAAAAGTTCACATTTTTTTGTAGATAGTCATTGAAAAGTTTACGAAATTTGCTAATACATAAAAAAAAAATCTGGTGCGTGCAACACACAACTTTCACTTACTGCTCTACTTCGAAAAACAATTCTTGTCTGGCGAAATTGGGCTATTATAAGACGTTTTTGAAGCCCATTTTTACTGAAGCTAAACCTTGAACAACATATTTTCGAATTTGGGTCATATTCATCAATACAAAAACCCATTAAGACCATAAAAATAACAGAAGACCTATTTATTATATCGATTGTAGACAATAAACATCTTATAACTGCATGAGTCTATTTGAATTACATAATACCAGTCTTTGAGACAAAGAGAGATTTAAAAGTACATGTATTTAATTATGAATGAGTAAGGTTATAATACACAATAAAAACTACAGGAGTTAAGTCTCTATTACTTTTTAAATTTATTTAAATTCTTATTTCATACTCTTGGATGATTTACCAAAAAAAAGTTACTTGTTTTTAAATACAGCATCGATAAGTTTTTTTAAAAATAAATCGACAATGTATACCTAATTGTTTAAAATGATATCGGATCTAGAGTTATTAGACTACAGTAAATTTATTTAATGTTATAAACATATGTTTTACACATCCATGAAATATCTGTATATTTTACTTCTTCATTCGCACAACTATAATGAAATAGTTTTTCAACAATGTCATTGCTTTTTTTTTTTTTAATTTGGTGGCCTTTTGTGCAGACTTAACAATAATTTTAAATGTTTATATTTAGTTAAGAAATTTTATTTAATTAATTAGTTTTCATTAAATAATATTAGTTTTCATAAATTATTATTTGTAATTTTTTGTCACTCTCCATTACCTTCTACGACTTTGTATGTTAAATATTATTATATTAAATTATTATCTTTTTTTAAAATTTCGGCTTTCCAATGATATATTATACGTATACATTCAGTCTCTTATTTCCGGAAATTCATTTTCAACCTGAAAATTCCTTTTTCCTTTTTCTCTTTTAGCAAATTAAGAAATTCTTTCATACTCTATATTCGCCCATTTTTATTTTTAATTATAATTAGAAACAGTTTTTTAAATGAACCAAATTTAAGGTACTTTAAGTTGATATCAATGTGGATAAGACCTAGCTGATCTTAAAGACCACATAATAATACACTGATATATCGAGTTTAATCAAACTCTTTAGAGCCGTTTTTGAGAAAATCGTAAAAATTTGTAACATCTTTCATATAAAGTGCCACTTCCGATAAGCCAATTTCCAGGAAGAAGTTGCTGTAACATCTCGTGCTTATACCAATCTTACATACGTAATACCAGTTTGTTATGAATTTTCGTTTTTGAGCTAGACTGTTATCATACACACACACTGGCACAAAGACCATTTTGTGGGACTTGGTTATTTCGATTCAGAGGACCTCAAAACGTGGATTTCAGTTGAAATCTGAAATTCGAAAATTTCTACGATCGCAATATTTTCCCTTACTATTTATTACATATATAGGTAAGTGAAAGTAAAAATCGGACATTTTAGTGTAAATAGTAGATTTTTAAATATTTTTCATATGTTCTTGCAGTAGAAGCTTATTTCCTTTGTTTTCCTTTTGAATATCCTGAATGTATTATATCAACTGGAGCAATGTGTTTAGAATTATACTTATAAAATTACTAATGATGAAATAAAAAATTATTTAGGGCTATATTAGGAATTATCTTTGTTTTATTTATTCTGTATGTTACAAGGAATGTAATGTTACTTTTGAGATATAATTTTTTGGAAATAATAAATCTGCGTAATAATTTGCAGCGCTTCTGTCATTGATACGAAACCATTCATTTATTTGTTAATGAATTGGGACTAAGCAAATAAGCAAATGTTTACCTGTCTTTCCATCGACATTAGTTGCTTATGGCATAGTAAAGCAGACTATGATTGTTATTCAATGTGGAGAAAATAACAATAACGAAAATAAACAAAAATGTAGTTTTTTTTTTATTATCACGAATATGTATAACTGCCGTAACTGTTCGACATAAACTACCAAAGATGTATATACATTTGAAGAAAATAATGATGTCTACAGTTTTCTTCTAGTCAGGTTTCCTTTGATGCAGAGAAGTTAAAAATCGATTTTATTAAATTTGTTGATTTAAGATGCTTAATATCACGAAAATTATAAGAAATACGAAAAAAAAGTAAAGTCTTCCCCTTTCAATGTATTCTAAACGCTGTTTTTCTGTTAATCATTGACATCTTTGACTGGACTATTATTGTTATTTTTAGAGGTAAGACGATGATTACCTGTGATAGACCATGGCTGCAAATCTTTCTATGATTTCTGGATTCATCTTGTGCTCCCCGTTGTTTATGACGAAAGTGTAGCGACCGAGCTGGCAGACTACACGCCCGGGATACGAAGTGCATGTCGCTTTGGCGTAAGCAGGCCTCTCAACATCAGCGCATGCTCTTGCTGTTGGCACTAGAAATGGAAGCATTCCTGAGTTTACCTCTTCTTCATTCTTAGCAGCCTTATCTAAATGGTCCAATAGTTCTACTGGAACTGGCTTCGGATGATGGGCACCACGTTCTTTCAATAGATGTTCTCCATCTGAAATAAAATTTTGAAATGTATGTTGACTAGATGACCTTTTTCTTATGCAATCAAAGTAGGGAAAGAAAGTATGACATGTTTTAAAATTCAAAGCAGATTATTTTTTTTCGATAAACATAACATGAAGTTAAAAATATCATTCCAAAATTAAAATCATGAACTGGATGATATGAATTGAGATGAAAATCATAGACTGGATGAACTACTACAATCATTTGTGTTCTAGAATGTGTCCAACTGACAGATACGGAGATCCTGGGCAGCTATTACTAGATGGTTAAAGTCGGCAGCAGGACTTGAATCGAAGTTGTGATGATGAAATAACTCAACCATGGAATCAGCGGTACTATCCAACGGCTGAGTTAGCATGGTTATTGCGGAGCTAGAGTACTCTACAGCCAAAGTGAGGGAAATTTTCTAGGGCAGATCATCCTAACATTAAAACTGGTCTAACTGGTAATATGGGGTGAACCTCTCCCATCTTGTAAGAAAGCTGGCGGATCCACAGGCGGATCTACGGAGGGAGGGGGCTTTTGGGCTGAAACTCTCCAAAATGTTAAAATTTAACCATGTTTTATAGAAAGAAAATATTAAAAACTATCTCTTAAAGTATTCTTGTTCCTGTAAAAAGGACTTTAAAAACCACTTAAACACCATTTCATATAGGTAGCTAATTTCTTTCTGTTTTTCAAATTAATTACCGTTACATGTAAATGAAAAAAAAATCTTTCGGGCTGAAGCACTCCCCCAAAATTAAATCCTGGATCTGCTAGTGGCTACGGCTAATGGTTACCAGATAGGTCTTACCAACTTAAGTACCAAAGTTGCTAATAAAATAGATACTAGTTGGTTCGTGTGAATAATTTCCAAAGTATCTGTGAAAAAAAACGGTAATATAATACGGATACAAGGATTTTTGTTTTTCATTCGATTATAACGATTCATAAAATTACAATTTACAATGATTCATAAATTCCAACACGCTATTTTTGCTAACACTGGTCCGATTTCGATGATTTTGCTTCCTCACTACCGAAGGTTTGCTTCCTCACCTAGGCCAATATTTCAGAAAAGGCTCGTTCGATTTGGCTCAAAGTTAGATAAAAGGTAGACTTTGGTGAAAAAATAACGTAGTGTCAATTTTATTGAATTCTGTCCACCACTTTCTTTTATATATGCACTACTAGCCCGCTGTCGGCCCTCCGCGCATTTTTTCCGAAACTACTGGACCGATTTTTTTAAAATTTGGATATAAAATCAGAGGTCACCAGAGGATGATCATCCTTCAACGACATTACTATTCGCTTTCTTGTTTTAAAACGGCGGCAGAAAAACCTGCGTTGCTATAGACTGTAGCGCCTAAACGAATGTACCGATTTTAATGAAACTTCGCTAAAGTCATTTTCTCTACGCCCTTTAAATTTATCTATATAACATACTTCAACGAAAAGAAGCTAAGAAAAAGTTACGAGGGATGGTAAAATTAAATTCCGTATTAAAAATTAAATTAAATAACTCAAGAAGTATACACATTAATATTGTGATGAGATGTTTCAAAGCTGTTCGAATTTCCTAAAAAAAAAAAAAATCGTTAAAATCGGATAATTAGGAGCAAAGATATGGTCTATAGTTTTTTTTTTAGATGTGCTATTGCAAATGGTTTATCTTTTGTTTTGATTTTTTAATGTGTTACTGAAGTAATGCTATTTTTTAGCATATTACTAATGAATAAAAAAAAGTTTAGTCCAATAATTGGAATCACCTTTTATTTATTTTTCTTTATAACTATGAATTTATATGTACTTTATATGTATAATTGTTTGGAAATAATATAGCATAGTGAAATAATTTGCAATGGATTTTTTTCAAATTAATTATCGTCACATATATTTATATATATATATATATATATATATATATATAAAATTTCGGGCTGAAGCCCCTCCCCCAAAATTTAATCTGGATCCGGTAGTGTATATCACTATTATCAGAGCAAAAGTTCGAATGTAAAAATTTTCAGCTTTAATTCTATGTGTTAATGGTGACATTTTGTAGTCTGCAACTGATATAAGTAGTCTTCTACTATGGAAAATAGCAGATGACAATAAAATATGAAATTATTCTAATAAAACATAAAGAAATTATGTGTTTTTGCAACTTTTGCAATAACAGTATTGAAATTCATGTTCAGTATGCATTTTTTTTTTTTTTTTTTTTTTATTAAGCATAATCAAGTATGGAATCTTCAAATACGACACTCTTCTTTTGAATGTTGAAGGGTAACTGTAGTCGGCTATTCCGATTCTCCTTCTGTCAGAGATTTTATTCTCATGTGAAAAATTGTATACCTTGTAATATACAACGGAAACGGTGAGGAAGCTAAATTGACCTTACTTGGCAGACGTTTGTTTCTTTGTTTTGTAAATGATTTAAAAATCTTTCAAATTATTACGAGTGAAAAAAAAATCTGGTACGTGCATCTCACAACTTTCACTTACCGCTTTACTTTGAATAGAAATTATTTTCTGGCAATGTTGGGCTGATAAAATTTATGAAGTGCGTTTTAAATGGAGCTAAAGCTAAAAGCTCACAGATGACAAATCATTAAGACCATTATAATTACAAAAAGTCTATTTATTATATCGATTGTCGGCAATAAAAATCTAGTAACTCCACCAGCTTTTATAAATCACATAACTTCAATCTCTGAGCCTTTCAGTTGACAGAATGACTAACTCCCATTTCAACATTTTTGAGAAATGTCATTTTAGAGATATTTCTAGCTGAAGAAGTTATACCTGTCAAGCCAGTGCAGTGCGTAAGTAGATTCCAGAGTAGATGATTGCATAGAGTAAAATATCCTACCAGCAATGCAACTAATTGTGGAGAAATAAGATGAGTGGGCAGTTGAGGAAGAATATGGACAATAAGGAGAAAATAAAAGAAGAACAAAGCTCGGGCGAAATTTTACAAGAGGTCTCTCCCTGAATCAGCCAATAACCTATTTTTAATTTTTGCGAGTTATAATCATTATACTTTCCATTTCCATCAATCATCTATAAATTTCAAATCTCACAGTAATGTTTCTAACAGTAACTAGAACTGAAGTTAGAAATAATAATTTCTATGAAAGAACTTATCTTCTAACAGTGCCTAAGGGCAATTTGTCTATCTAAATGTGGAGCATCTTCCCACCCTTCCTCCCCTCCCTCCGAGCCTCAAGCGATCAAAATTATTTAGGTTTGATCCTGCTGAGGATACAAAAAGATTACATTTTAAGACAAATTGTTCTTCGCAAATGTAGTAACATTCTCCTTCAGGTTTTGATTATGATGTGATTCTCCCGCCTTTGGACTCCATCGTTACCTTCTACATGGCCAACATCGGAAATATAAGAATCAACATTTTTCAAAATGTCTTATACAATCTAGATTCATTGTTAATTATCAGCGCAATTATTCCTAGTTTGAGTCTCAGTTTAAAAAAAAATACATTTCTTTTTTTATTTTTGACCCAAAATCCTCTCGAAGAGTGCTATCATCTGAATACTGACATTCATAGACTCTTCGTCGACTATGATCAAGTTAACAGAATTTTACTATTCAATGCATCGGATGTTTTTAATGTACATCTAAAACTAATTAATTCGATCAAAAAGACGGACCCAAAATCAAGGCCAGCTTTCTCGTTGGTAGGCGCATAAGCAGGAAAACACAGTTTATTTACGCCTTGGAGTGGGACACCAAGACGGCTTCTCAGCAATCTTCTTCACCTTAGTACTGTAAAGACAATCGGGTTCATTGAATTGTATTACATAGAAAACTATGCATTTCTTTAAATAATGCGGTTTGGAAGAAATTTCGGTTCTATCAAGAAGTGATAAAGCATTTAGAGGTATACTCATAAGCTGGACCATGAGAGCAAAAACGTTGGATTCGAGATTTGCGAATCTGGAACGAAATACATGGTAATGATAACTTCTGAATTAATAAGAAAGCCACGCATTCTTAAATACTACAAACAAACCTTTGATGATGTTGATCATCATCATCATCATCATAGTGGGCGCAACAACGCTAAGCTAGCGAGTCTATGCCTCTCCGAGCAGCCTCTGCCAGACGGTTCTATCTTGTGCAGTAGCAGTTCTGTTCCCGAAGTTTAGCAGGTTTCTGGCATCGATTTCCACACCATCAAGCCATCTTATTTTAGTCCGGCCTACTACCCTTGCTCGGGGCGACGTTTCCGTATTACCTGCCTTAGAATCTCGGAGTCACGCATTCAACCCACATGACCGGTTCAACGGAGTCGCCCAGCTTTGTATCCTTCACGATATTATCGTCTCTAAAGACATCATAGAGCTCCCTACTATTTCTTTGTCTCTAGACGTCCCCCTCTCTTACTGATCCAAATATTTTCCTCAGCACTTACCTACCTCAGTACTGGAGGATATATTCTAGCTCGAAATATCTATTCAAAGCATTTATCCGTCTCACATCCTGACTATGAATCTTATAGGGACCAATATCCAGCAATACGACATGGTCTGCACCACCACCGGCACGTATATATTTAGTTTTTTGCTCATTTACTATGAGACCGAATCCTCTTGCAGCTGTTCCAAAAGCAATAAATGTAGGTTCTGAACTCGTCACGGTATCAATATCTACGGCGTATCCTAGCAGCCGTATCTTTCTGTTAAATATGGCGCTTCTTGTCTGGATTTTATTTATTCTCGGACAGCCATTTCTAATGCCATATTAAGTATAATGCAAGTTAGAGCATCACCTACTGATTTTGAATGCTTCTGGAAGGTCTGATCCTACATGGAATGAACATTTCGAATTTCTCATAGTCACCTTCACTAGAAAATTTTGATAATTTTACATATCTCGGCCCTGAAATCAACTTCTAAAATAAGCTGAGTGTTAAGATCAAGAAAAGATTAATGAATGGTAATCAAGCGTATTATCTCCTTGTGAACTAGATGAAGTTGTCTCTGCCCTCTAAACCCCAAAATTATAAATATGCAAATCACTTATTAGGCCGTAGTTTCTTTCAGATCTGTAACTTGAATACTTGAATACACTTGAAATAACGGACAAGCAGACTCTTGTAATATCCAAGAAACTGGATGAGCTAAATAACCGCGAGGATATTATGAGATTTATCAGATTTGAAAAAAATGGCTATGACCTAAATAACCTAGCTTTGCCACGTTTGCTCAACGAACAAATAATTAAGATCACATGAGAATCATTCACAGAAAAATGAAAGAGAAGACACCCTCGGAAAAGCTTATAGAAAGACCTGAACTGATTGCATAGAAGGAATAGAGATCTCCTAGAGAGGAATGAGGACAAATCGTTTGGGAGGGCAAAGTCCATTTTACTGTTTAGCCCTATATGTACAGAACTGCTAACTGGATATGTTGTTTGGTTCAAGAAGGATTAAGGAGGTTTTAAATTAGATGATTATTAACATGAAATTTTTCGGTCGAGCTTCGAAAAAGAAACTGATGTAAAAAAGAAATAGAACTTTTGGACTAAAACTGATGAAGGTTAAGCAGAAGAGCTGGAGAACGGTAGCGGACTATGCTCAGAAAAGAAGAGACCAGGAAATTGATCAAAACCAATCAACAAGTAGGGTCTGGATGATCTCGTGAGGCAATATCTTAAAACAGTTGGAGAGGGAATGAAGGATACGCCTACGTCATGTTGGTTATAATAAAATTGAAAGCCCATTAATATATTAATAAAGTATAGACAGAATTAAAGTCATATAAAAAGAAATTAAATCCAAATATAAAGTAATATACAGTATTCTTCACGTGTGTCTCATTTTCTCCTGTTACATAATACTTTCATTCTTACTGGAAGAAGGTGGAGAAGGCCGCCACAACGTAGTTGTCCGGTGCATCAAATATCTAAGGCCGTCACGAGCCACCCATAACCATCCTTGTGGTTTTATATAACACAGGCATCACCATGTTCTTGCTGTAATCTTCGAAAGAATAATAACTGACAAACAAAAAAAAACATCAAAAGGCAAACTGTATCCTGTAAGGTACCCAAAATTACCGACAATACATAATGTTTTTAACTTGCCTAAACATGCCTTTAAAATCTTTCGCCAACTTTTCCAGGTTAACATTATGCCATTATCAATTTTAGTCTATCGTTTTTAAATTTAGCTTTGTGATTTACTTTTCTATTCTTATCTTAAATTAGTCAACCACTCTAGTTTCTTCTACGTCACCTAGGCTTTATACTTAATATAATCTATCTATGTCATATCATATCACTATCATATCATATCATATCACATATCATGTCACTAGTTGCTTCTTCACGGTTGCGACATGATTGAAGAACTAATTAAAGGAATTTAATAACAATATTACTTCGAAGGCCAAGACCTGAGATTTTATAAATCTATGATCAATCCAACCAAGATATATTCTTCTAACCTTAACTATCCCAAATATCGCAAAACCTTAAAACCGTTATCACGTTCAACATAATAACATAACCGTTATAACATAACATAAGGAAATAAATATATTTCGAACATTTCTAGATTTTTGCAGAGAATAATAAATTTAAAAAAAGAATCCGCTTAAATTTTATCCTAGAAAGCAACAAAGAGGTTATGTTTGCAATAGAAATATTTATATTTTTCTTTGCAACAAGCAGCGAAAACATGACTTACAGTAAATCGATAGAGAAGAGAAGCGGATATCGATTAGTGATTTTGTTTATTGCGGCTCAGAAGTAGATATTCTTGATAATTTCCATTAAAATTAACATAATTATTACATTATTATATCACACTCAAAACAGATAAATGGAGATATAAAACTTGTATGTTTTTGGATGTTATAAAGGCTTATTTTTTTAACCGTTATACTTTTTTGTTTCAATCATTCACTTTTGTTGTGTTCTGTATGATTTTCTCGCAAAGAATTCTGTTGTTGAATTATTCATCATTTCTAATGATTCGTCATTCTATTTAAAATAAATTCTAGTGTTTTAGCATATGAGTTAAGAATAAAATTCTAAGTTTTTTAGACAATATTAGGTTTCCCAAGAAGCAATGGATTTTTCTTTTCAAAATATGGAATACAGTTATTTAAATTTTGTTGTTAACTTTTTAGTTACTATCATGGTAAGGTTCTAGAGGTGTCTTCTACCATGCTTATATTCGTACACAGTATGTCATTTTTTAAACATGTAATGTTATATGTTCGCAGTATGTTTTCTGTCACTGAAAAACATCCCTTCTAAGAGTTGCGAATCAGTTTAGATTTGGTTGGTTTACTTTTTAAAACTTTTTCCTTTTTCTGCATTCTCTAGAATTTTCTGTTGGCAAATTTAGTTCAATACCAGCTTCTCTTGACTATTGATTTATGTCCATTGACGACTAACTGAAAAAGCTATTTTCGAATCCAATTATCATACTACTCTATATCATAATATGTTCTTACCTTCCGATGAAATGCTAATAGTTTCAACGCACATGAATATCAGTACTGGAACCAAACGTAAAATATAAAACATGGGTAACTTTAGTGAGGAGGATACCCATATTTTAAGTTTTCATGATTATTGCATTTAACACACATATGCCGAGAGAAACGAGATTCAAATTAAATAACATGTGACATTAAATAATATTGTTTACTAGCTTTTATCTCTTTCATTAAGGACGAAACTAAATCTTCTACGAAAAATCTAGTAAAATATGCGATTTAAGTTAAAAGAATAAATTGGAAAACAAAAAAATAAATATATACATATATATTATTTTAATACGGCGTCTGCGATTCCGTTTTGTATTTTGTAATGTGTTAATTATCACCCCTTTTTATAGCTTCTAAACTTCTATTTACGACATAAGATATTGTTACCAACGCAACGAACATGTGATATGAGATTTATAACCTATAATTAGTCCGTAATGTATTATGAAGTACTACGTAATGTATATTACGTAATACACCACGGACCGTGTTGAGTTGGTTCAAAGTTATAAGTGACATATAATTTCGATAGATCTAAGCCACCATTGAACTCATTCGTGATTAACTTTTTTTTATTTTTATTTTGTTTAGCCAAGGAAACTTACTAACATTAATCAAGCTTTACGTGGGAACAATTATTTGATGAGAGCATGTTTGTGGCAATAGAAAATTGAACAGAATATTATTGGAGGAACGAGTTCTCACAGGTACACAAATAACTGCTATTAAAGCCTATTTATATAAATAAATGAAAGTTATTGTATTGTTTGTTTCAAATTCTAAATTGAGTAAGAGTTTGCTCTAAATGTGGATTATTGAATAATTTAATGGATGTTCCATACATAATTGTGAATAATTCAAATGCAATAGACAGAGATTATATAAGGGAGAAAATGCATTTTGTTTTTAAATAAAAATTTACGGATTTGTAGTTATGAAATATATTTCTTGGACGGTATTGGGCCAATGTTTGAGCTAACCTATCAGCCTCCAACATGTGCCAATTATTAATTATGGAGCACATTGGCATCGAGTTTGGCCATACCATTATATGCATAACATTTGTCAAGGCCTCCTACTCATCAATGTCCCAATCAAATAGGCCAAAGAAGAACTATAAAGGGTTTGAGTGATCTCCCAATAGCAGATATAATTTTTAAAATATTAAATTTCTTTACGTGTAATGAGATACCTTGTACACACAGATCAAAAATTTCTCGTCTTACATAAGTACCGAAGTAAAAAAAAAGTAGTCAAAACTGTATTGGAATAGTTCGTAAGATACGAGGTATATATAACATCTAATGCAGTCAGACTAAAAGTTTACATATATCAGGAAATAAACTTGATAAGAAATAATGGAACATGGATGTAATCTTTATTAGAAAAAACACAAAAATAAAGAGTAACAAAAGTCAACATACACAAGAAGAAATGCTTATGGAAATTAATTATGATTGAAAAAGTAGGTATTTGGGTGTTATGGCCTTTGATGCTAGTACAGCAGCAATTATTTGAGGCATAAAAAAATATGAGATTTTTTATTCATCTAACCGCTATTGGATTTTTTAATTTAAATGAGTGACGGGGAGGAATGGAGCCGTCGGTATACATTATCGAAAAACCATTCATTTAGAACTGTGGCTGTATGATTTAGATAAGGGAAAAATCCAATCCCTTCCTTAGACATATGTAAGTAAGTGACCAGCTCTATACCAGCTGGTGACAATCTAATTTGGGTGTTCCATAGTGCGGTCTGTTGGTATATGATGTTGTTTTTCTAATTTCTTTATTGTTAATTATTGTATTGAGACATGATTTGTTAGTTTAGGCGTTTTCCATAATATAAATGAGTTTCTTATAACAGTGAGGTTTCTTCCTGCAAAGATTATCTGTCAGATTTTATTGAGGTAATAATGTTACTCATAACCTATCCAAATTTTTACGAAAAAATGCTAAATATAACTTTAGAAAGAATTTGATAATTGAATAAAGGTGAAAAAAATAAAAATGCTTATCCAGGTCGAAAATGAATCGTTGGAAAGCAGAGAATTTTAGAAAAAAACAATATCTAAGATAGAAAATTGTAGAAGCTAACGGAGAGTGGCAACAAAATTATAAAAACTAATTTTTGAAAACTAATAATATTTAACGTAAATCACATGTTTTCAAGAAAATAAAATGAAATTTAGTAACTAAATGTAAACTTTTAAAATATTGTTAAGTTTGAAAAAGTATTTAAATCCACCTTGTCAAGGCAATGACATTGTTTAAAAACTATTTCATTGTACTTGTGTTAAAATAAAGTGAAATATAACATCATTTCATGGATGTATAAAGCATATGTTTATAACCTTAATTACATTTACTATTAGTTTAATAACTCCAGATCTGATATTACTAGTGTTGCCCAAAATCGGTCTTGGTCTTGCGCTTTGCAAGACCAAGACCTAGGCCGCCTAACTGTTGCAAGACCAAGACCAGGACTGGTAAAAAAAATCGATTTTTTAAATAAAAATTAAGGCAAAATAGTTACCTAATACTTGACAACCTTAGTTACTATATGTTAATAATTGGTATAACCAATATACTTTTGCATTTAAATCCTCTAATTTTCCATCCGGGCTTAGTTAGGTTTTTCCTATCTAAAAAACTAAAGTAATATCTCTACAGTAATAAGCTAATAAGTAACTGCAAGACTGTTGCGAGAAGCTTGCGTAAGACCAAGACTGAGTTTGCAAGACCAAGACTCGTCTCGGTCTCGCATTTGGGCAACACTAGATATTACATTTAAATAATTAGGTATCTATCGCCCTTTTATTCCGAAAAATCATGTAACCTTTTAGAAAATCAAATTAGTGAATAGTTGATGAAATTTCTTTTTGTGATATTAAAATTAGTGTGACAACGTTTGACCTGGCTATGACAGACAATGCAAATCTCTTAATTCCGTTTTAGCAAACTTTGCAATGGAAAATAACAGTTTAATAACTAATAGCCGTACAATCCACAATCAACGGATCTTACAATCCATAATCAACCAGTAATATAATAAATAGGACTTTTGTTATTTTAATAGCATTTATGATTTGTGAACTGTAATTTTTTTAGATTTAGGTCGGTTAAAAATACAATTCAAAAATTTTATAATAGCCCAAAATGGCCAGAAAATAATTTTTGTTCAAAATTGAGCGATAAGTGAAAGTTGTGTGTTGTGCGCACCAGATTTTTATAAATTGTATAAGTGTATTGCGTTCTAAGGATTATCAGAGGCTTTTATTATTCTTTGCTAGAAAATGATACTAGGACGTTCCACTTGAAATTTTAAAGAATTATAAAGACTATTTGTGGAGAACTAATTAGTAATCAAACACTGATTATTATAGATCTAGGCACAATAATTTATAGAATCATAAAAATGATCAACCTAGTATCTCAAGCCCTGCGACTAAGAGAGCCAGATATATTTTTAAACTAATGTACAAAATATAGGAGCCGCTTTCATCGCGCGCGGAGCTGAATTGAATAATATATTACATTCATTATTTGGCTTTAGGGCATACAGATATCATCACGGGCCCATGGTTCCAGGCCCAGGTAAAATATCAGGATTTATTAATTGAAAATTAATAGGTTATTAAAAATAGAAATATAAAATATCATCAGTTTATTGCAAAAAGTCAGTAAGTGACATTTCATAATCTCGGACAATTAATTAATCGAATAAAATTTAATTAATTTTCCTTCTGTAACTTTAATTATAAATATAATAGATAAAAGAGTTTATGTCATTTGTATGCGCTTATGGTTTTTTTGTATAGATAAATAAGGTTAAAATAAACTTAATAAACTATAACCTAAATCAAAAATGCGTTTAGTGACTTTTTGCAATAAACTAACGGTGTCGTATAAAATAACTACAATCATAATATATTATCATACACACAGAGACATTTGGGGCACCCGGGCAATGGTGTCATCTCTCTCCCATAAATAAATTCGATTTATTTCTCATGCTATTTTATATTATGTAATGTTTTATTTTATTTCATTCAGAATTTTTGTAATACAGTTACTTTATTTATTTTAACATTTTAAGCAATTTGCGCATGCGCTACAGCGCACCTAGCAGATCTGATCAATTAGGCATTAACTGCGAGTTTGCTTGATTAACTTAATTTTGTTATTATTGCAGGAGTAGGCACCTTGGCCATTTTATTTTTAGCCTGCGTCCATCAGGTAACAGGGAGGAAGAAAGAGACAGAACGAGTGGTTTTGGATGATTGAGAGTAGAAGAATGAAATGAAGTGTATTTGTGGTAGATTTTACTGTTGGAATATTTAAATCGTTATGGAGAGTGTTATTTGATATGTACCAAGGTGCGTTGACCATTTTTCGTAGAATGTTTTATTGTGTTGTTTATATTTTATTAACGTGTGTTTGTTTTGCAGAACCTCAAAGGTCTGCTCCGTTTGACCAAATTGGTCTCAGTTGTAGATCAGTCGCTTGTTACGTAAGTTAAGTGAGGATCTGTAGTCCAGGAGATGAGAGAGTTAGATATATCATCTAGTCAGTTCTTGTCTTTTTAGTTTAGTATGTATGTTCCAAGTATTTTGTCTAAGCAGAGTCCGAGGAATCGTACATAGTTTTTTGAAGGCACTGGCTTATTGTCAATCGTTATAGATGGACATGAGGCTTTTCTTGGAGAGAAAGTCACGTGAGTGAATTTACTACTATTTATTTATACATTACTTTCTTAATAAGCTAAAATGAATAATATTATTACACTTTGTATATATCGTCAGTTTGTTTATTTGAAAAAAGTCACGAAGTGCATTTTTGTTATTGGTCAAATACAAAAAACATTTTAAGTTCATGAAACTGACACAAACTCTTTGAAAAACAAATATGTATACAAATATAGTCTTCAAAGTTCTTATTGTGTATGAAATGTCACTTTTTGCTATAAACCAATGATATATTATTCTATAAATTCATAACAGGTGGCGAATGCCTCCGATGATCAAAAAAATCATATCAATTAAGTGTTCCACATCCACATCGTAGGGAACCTGGATTTAGAATTTGGAGCCTATCAGTTCTGTTAAATTTATTATATAAAAATTTGAATTGATAAGTATGTATTAAATGCATAAATCATGTATTAGCAAAATAAATTCTAGTCACATCCTTCAGGTTTGGTGCCATTTTCTCATAATTTTTTATATATTTA